ATTCGAATTTGTCGACGAACTAGAAGATGAAGCAATTGAAATTACAGACTATGGCGAGCATACGTTTGAGTTTTACTACTATAGCGAAGAACAAGACTCTTTCTACTTTTATACCGGCGTAAACTATAGGAAATTACAAGTATGTTTTACTAAGGCGGGCTATGCTCATGTAAACGCTAGAGATACAGATGGAAAATACGTTCAAATACATCTTAACAAATTCAAGAAGCTATATGGCATACCATTTTAAAACATTTTTTTATTTTTATAAAAATGCCCCCATATAGAATGGATAGAAAGTCTGCTAGAATAAAAGCAGAGTTGCAAAGATATGGTTGGAGAGTTTCGAAGAATTTTAAATATAGGAAGGGAAGACCCATAAAAGTCTATGACAAATTGTCTGGTCTTCGCTACGAAATGGACTTAGAAACAGCGCGCGCCAATTATCCAAACAGATTAGAGAGGTTAGAAGAAGAACGTCTTATGGACATGCCTTTCAATGTTAGTGAACCTCAAGTTGAAGGACACGACGGCTTTGCCAGATTCTACTGGAAACATGACGAACAATTGCATCCTTTGAGAAGGAAAAAAGGAAAAGGTGAAGACGCACATGCTCCCATGGAAAGAACAAGATATGCATATGAGAAGTATCGTGAAGTTAGAAGTCAAATTACATCTGGTCGAACCTTTACAGTAAACTTTGACGAAGGAAAGAACAAAGAAGGCTTCATGGGTGTACTTGCTGCCATTCAAGACGGAAATAAGAAAGGATACAATCTCAGACTAACCGTAACAGATTTGGACGGTCACATTTACTATGCACATGGCAATGTCACAACAGCCGCACAACTTCTTGACGCTTTCAAGACTACAAAGAGAGAACAAATGGTTGACTCCGACTCAGACATTTTGAATGCAATTGAAGGAATTGCAAGTGTCAAGTTCGAATGGTACCAACCCAACCCTCAAGCAGTCAGACAACATGCTGGATACTTCCCCTTCATAAATAAGTCTGACATTGACTTGACAAGGTATGGAATTTACAATTCAATTGAAACAATTGTCAATGAACCTTGTATTCTTACATGTCTCAGGAACTCTGGTCTTGTTACAGATGAGAAGATGAAGTATCTTGAGTCATGTGTGAAGACAAGGTACATGCTCAGAGGTCAATTGGCAAAAATTGCACCGTTGGCAAATGTGAATATCCGAGTCAACATACCTACAGCTAAAGGTTCTTCACATGACGACTATGTTGTTGAGTTCAATTTACCATGGTTGAAGATTGCAATTGTCCACAACCACTTCATGTTGAACGAAAGTCTTACAAACCCATTGTTCGGAAAAGGTAAGTGCAACATTGTCAGAGCTGTTAACATTCTTTTCGAGAAAGGTTTGTTGGAACCGATTCCAGATGACAAGCTGACAGAAAGTTTTGTACCAAAAGACGAAACAAACTTTTCACTGTTAGCAAGACCAAAAGTTGTTCCAGACAAAGTTCTAGCACAAAAGAAGTACACAGTTCCAAAAGGAGTTGGATTGTTCGGATACCAACCTGAACCCAGAAGAACTTCCAATGAGGTTGCAAGAACTTCAAGATGCTATAAACAAACTTCCATTGAGACATCCAATTGACGTCAAATTGTATTGGAGAGCATCTGAGTTAGGTCAGAAGGTTTAATATATGAAACAGGTTGCTTCGACGATGTTTATGAGATAACAGGAGAAGTTTCGCAGAAGATAAGAGACTCACTTGAATTTCCACAAACTGGACCAATTGGTTGCGACAAGTTCGACTCAGATGAAAAGATATACTATGTCGACCTTAACGCTGCGTACATGAGGTTTGTCCAATATATCCCGACTGGAATTCCAAACGAAGATGGTGAGTTCCCGGGAAGGAACTATACAGTTGGAAAAGTCATACAACAAACTCTATGATATTAGGAAAGCTTCAAACCCCAAACTTGCAATGACACTCAAATTGCTTATGAATTCGACATGGGGATATTCCATTAAGAAACCTCAAAAGATGAAGAGTAAACACTATGAGAAGGTCGACAACTTTGTTGAAAGGTTCTCCCCTTTTGTTTTGAAATACGAATTTACTCAAGGTCAAGGTGGCTTAGTAACCACAGTAAAACCTATTGTCGAACATTGGTCTTACCCTCAGTTCGCAAAGGCAGTCCTTGACGAGTACAACAAATTCTTCTCCGAAGTCAAATCCAAAGTCAAGGTTTACTATGAGAACATTGACGCACTCATGACGAACGAAGAAGGATACAACAAACTCATTGAAATGGGTTTAGTCGGTGAGAAGATGGGCTGTTTTAAGCTAGATAAGGTATTTTCCGAAGTTCATGTCCTCTCCAAGCGTAAGTATTGGGGTGTGCTTGAAAACGGCACAGAAATAAAACATTGCATGAAATAGTAAAACATTGCATGAAGTAAAAACGTTTTTAAAACAGTATATTTTTACATATATTAAATGCTTCAGGTTGAAAAACAAAGAACAAAAGTAGCAGATACAAAACCGTTAGACTATATGTTTACAAACGCCGGTAGGAATATATCAGATGAAGAAATTTTATCTCGAATTGTCTTTCATATATAACTACGGAAAAGTGCTGAAAAAGTATTGAAAAATGAGTTTTGGTTAGATGGTTTTTAGGTGTGCCTATGTGCCTATGTGCCTCGGTCATTTTAACTTCTCTGAAAAAGTGTGACAACACGACATTTTGACAACATCGTAGAAAACACGCAAAACTCTTGAATTTTGTATAAAAAAAGCAACCCGCGGAATTCCGGCGGTTGGTATATTCTTCACAAAATGCTTGTTTTGAGGTCGAGCCACTTTTGGCTCGACCGTATTTTTCAACCAAAACTCTTGAATTCGGCAAAAATATATTTTAGGTGGAACCAGGTCACCAGGTCACCAGGTCAAATGAACTTCTTTTAAAAAGTGTGACAACACGACATTTTGACAACATCGTAGAAAACACACAAAACTCTTGAATTTTGTATAAAAAAAGCAACCCGCGGAATTCCGGCGGTTGGTATATTCTTCACAAAATGCTTGTTTTGAGGTCGAGCCACAAACGAATGTCCGACGGTTAAGCCACAAACGAATGTCCGACGGTTAAGCCACAAACGGATGTCCGACGGTTAAGCCACTCAAAAATATTTTTTATTTTTATTGTAAGAACTGAAAATGACAGTCGAAGCAAAAACGTTCACGAACAAATCTAATGGCGAAACATTCACAAAAGGCACTTACAACGGTATTGAAGTCTTACGTAGAGACAAGGATGGTTATATAAATGTAACAAATATGTGTCAGCAGTTTAGGAAAGACTTTAGAAAGTTGTTGGAAAATAAGTCCTGGGAAGAGTATTATACGGCATTTTGTGAAGAATATACCAACCGCCGGAATTCCGGCGGTTGCTTTTTATACAAAGTTCATGCAGGAATTCCGGATGAAATCAAACAGGTTAGAGGAACGTATGTAGACCCAAGACTTGTAAACTATATTGCAATGTGGGCTTCTCCAAAATATTGTATAGCAGTTGGAAAAATTATGGACTCCATAGACAAGAAAGTTCATGAGAAGTTAGATGAAGAAGAACTTGAAGATACAGTAGAGAATGCAAAACCTTTGTTTGAAGAAGAAGTTAGAAAAATGCATGAAAAACAAATAGAACATGAACGTGAGATATGTTCTGGTTATAGAGATTCTCCATACGAACTAGACCAATGGGAACAAGAAGATTTAAAGAGAGAATTTAGAGAATATGAACTCGCTAAAATTTCATTAGAAGCTGCAGAAAAGAAGTTAAAAGTTTGGGGTCGTTTTGTACAAAAATATTGTGAGTAAATGAACCATTTATTTTTATTGAATTCAGCAAAAATAATGTTTATGTTAGAATGTTAGATCTAACATGTTTTCTAACACGTTTTCTAACATGGTCTAAAACTCATGAGTTTTATACAGAATTCGGCAAAAATATAATTTAGGGTAGAAGGTTAGATCTAACCTCTTTTCTAACCTCTTTTCTAACCTCTTGAATTTTCATGAATTTTCATGAATTTCATCGTAAATGTTTTGTCGAAACTTCTTCATCGTAAATGTTTTGTTAAGACTTCTTCTTCGTAATGAGTGTAAACGACCAAAAAATATATTTTATGTTAGAATGTTAGATCTAACACGTTTTCTAACACGTTTTCTAACATCGTAGAAAACTCATGAAATTCATGAGTTTTGACACTTTCACAAAAAACATAAAAAATAAAGTTAGTTTTTTTAAAAAAATATTTTTTATTTTTATTGTAAGAACATGTTAGCAACAACAGCACCAAACTCGTTAGTCATGAACCCAACTTCAATGTTAGTAGAGATGAAAAGCTTCATTCCTTCTTCATATACTTTCGAAACAAAAATCCAGAAGATAAAGCAAGAACTTTTAACAAGTAATTTAGACTGTAGTGCGAAAGATGAAACAAATGAACAGTATCTTTATGAAATGCAGGATATTATTGACCATTTACCTAAACTTCCTGAAATCCAACAACAAAAACTCACTATTCCCGAATTTGACGAAATAGAAGTCAAAGCAACTGACTCAGTAGAAATAAAGAAGTTCATACGAAAGGTAAATTATGAATTCCTTGGTTTTCATTGCAACCATAAGGTTATGGACAAAGATTGCGACATGGTATATAAGAACATCTCTGACCTTTACAAATCCGAAGAATTTAAGACCTACGACAACTTTGTTTCATTAGTTGCAAAATGTGTTTGGGAAATAAGAGATAAAGATAGTAGGGGTAAGGTATGGAACGAACAAATAAAACCCGCTATGTTCGAGATGAAGAAAACCATTGACGCTTTAGTTGTTTTAGCAGGTAAGGTTTCAGAATATAACGCAAAAATGAACCCGCAATGTTCAAAATGTAAAGCAGCAATGAGGAAATATAACTACTCCGTCAAAGAGATAGAACGTATGCGAAACGACTATGCAGATTTAAAGAAAGAAGCAGAAAAACCAGCAGAAGATAAAATGAACATGTTAGAATTTCTGAACAAAAACTATCCAACAGCTGACGATTTCCTTCTATCTGACGTCAAGAAGAAGTATAAAGAAACTTTCGGTATCGTTAAAACATTCGATGTACTAAAAGAAGAAATTGAAGCCACGAAATTGTTTAGAGTCATGAACCATCGCAACATATACCATGTAAAACGCTTGTAAATAGTTATGTTAGAAAACATGTTAGAAAACATGTTAGATCTAACATTCTAACATAAACATTATTTTTGCTGAATTCCGTATGAAATTTCATGAGTTTTGTGTGTTTTAGACCATGTTAGAAAACATGTTAGAAAACGTGTTAGATCTAACATGCTAACATAAAATATATTTTTGCCGAATTCTGTATAAAATTCATGAATTTCCTCATATGTTTGCTACCCTCGGAAAACCGAGGATAGAGATTCCATTCGAAAATCGTAAAAAATTGCGACCCGCGGAAAACCGAGGAACGCCTAAAACACATGAAAATCGTAAAAAAATGACCAAATTTCATGATATAACTGTATCTTTTATACAAAATAAAATTAAAGTTAGTTTTTTTAAAATATTTTTTTTTATTTTGTATGTAAGAACAGGAAATGTCAAACACTGAGTTTGAAACAGTTAAAAAGATAGACAATAACACTAAATTGGTTAGAATTGGTGATTTAAACGTAAGATACTCAAAGAAATACAACAAATATTCTTTGTCAGACATTATATCTCCATCTGGAAAGAAACCACACGACTGGGTTAAAAATGCTTCATCTCAGAAAATTTTGACAAGAAATCCTGAGCTTATGATATCGGTAAGATTTCATGGAACTACAGCATATCTTATAGACAAAAGTCTTATACCAGTAGTTTTGTTCTGGTTAGACCCAGTTGTTGGATATAACTTCATAACATATGGTTTATTCGACTCAGAACGTTGCAGTGAAGGCTTACTTTACATCGTTCAGAAACCGAAAGACTTCAATACAAAGAGATATAAGATAGGAAGAACATTTAATATAACTAAAAGATATGACTCTACAGTCAATAGAGTTAAGGTTGTGTTTGTTAACGATATGAGAGCTGCAGAAACAGAACTGCTTGAAAAGTTTGAGAAAATGTATGGTGCTCCCACGAAAGGTAAAGAAACGTTTGAAGTAGATGAGATAGATAAAGCTATAAAATTATTTGACGAAGTTGCTGAAAAATACATGTAAAGCGTTTATTTTTGGTCTTTTATACAAGATAGAAAAAATAACGCTAATTTTATTTTTTTTTATTTTTTTATTTTGTATGTAAAGACAGATATGTCAACAACAGAGAACACAACAACTGCTATCGTTCATGAAGCTATAAATGAAGAATATGAGTACATACAGTTTAACAAACAGTTACGTCTCATTCGTTCGGTCAAAGACGATATGTACCAAATGCAAAGTATTTTGACAGCATGTTTTGCACCAGATACCAAACATACAGACGATTGGTTCAAAAACCAAAGCACACAAGAACTTTTGAGCGAAGCACAGCGAGACCGACTTTTACAGGGGTCGCCAAAACTCTATGAAAATCGTAAAAATTTGCCAAATGGTTTGAGAGGTTGGTATGTACATAGACTTCTTGTAAATGCTGTTGCAATGTGGGCTTCAGCTCGCTATTCATGGTATGTTTGTAAACTTCTTGACGAAATTCATAGACAAGAACGTGAAGAGATGGAAAAGAAACTTCAAGCAAAAGATGAAGTCATTGAATCCAAAGACAAAAACATACAGAAAAGAATACCACGTTCGGTACCAAAAGGAAAGGAAAAGAACTATAAGTATATGATTTATACTGAAGAGATGGAAAATGAAGAAGATAAAGATATGGTTATGTTGCATTTAGTCAGAAGAAACAACAAAAGCTTTTACGACCTTGCTAAGATTTACAAATCTGACAGAAATTGGTTCTATCGCGAAAACTTACCGATTTCAATGACACCGAATGAAGATGTGAAACAAATAGTTCAAGATACGTTACCTCAAACTCACTATGATATGAAAGGTTGTACAATTCTTACATTCAAAGAAGACTTACCGCTACTGAAGGAAAAAATAACAGAGTATTTTGACAACTTCAAACAAGTAGAGTAGATGAACCATTTATTTTTACGCTTGACTTCAGATGGCTCAGGTAGCTCTATAAAGTAAATTGTCTCGTCAAATCCTTCTGGCATTCCGAGTCCTTCCATCCGACATTCCGAGTCCTTCCATCCGACATTCCGAGTCCTTCCTTCCGACAAGAAAAAATTTTCCCGACAACTGGAAAAAATTTTCCTGTTGTCCGTCCGTAAACCATTCAAATTTTCGAAAATTGAGAACTTTTTTCCCGACAACTGGAAAAAAATTTCCCGACAACTGGAAAAAAATTTCCTTCCGACATTCCGAGTCCTTCCTTCCAACAGGAAAAGTTTTTCCTTCCAACAGGAAAAGTTCTTCCTTCCGACAGGACACAAACGAATGTCCGACGTTCCTCTTCCTGAATGTCTTCCAAAGCCAGAAGAACCGAAAGCTGCAGCACCACAACAGACTAAGACCAAACACTTACATTTTTCAAGCTTGACTTTTTACAATTTGAACTTTGTTTGCGTAGATATGAATTCTGAAAGAAGTATGAGGGTCTTGTATGACTTTATACTTCTCCCATAGTTCATGTCTGTCAAACTTACCTGCCATGGACTCTTTCATAAGTTCCATGAAATCGTCTTCGGACAATCCGGGAAAAGTACAATGTCAGTAAGTATTCTTTTAACATCCTTACTTAAACTCTTTGCTGTCTGTACACAAATGACAACTGAGATGTTAAAGTGTCTGAGCTTCTTAAGAATTCGACACATATCTTGTTCTCTGTTCTTTAACAAAGGATGAGAGGCGAAATCATCTAAGATAAGAAGACATCTATGAGGGTAAGTCTTCCAATCGTACGATTGCAATTTCTTCGAAATGTATTCTATCTCTTTCTGTTTGTTTCTGAAGTGTTTCTTCTCTAATATTCTCTGCATTTCCTCATTTGGGTCTTTAAACTTAGAATTTATATACTCATTTATAGCATTATACTTCAAAACTCTTCTTTGGTACTTCTTTATCCAATCTAACAACTCAGTATCCTTTATACATACTAACTTAGACTTCTTTATAATATCTTTGAACGATTTGACGGTTTGGTCAAATTGACCAGAAGTACTACAAATAACAACTAACTCATAGAATGGGTTCTTCTCATCTAGTTCTTGTTGTTGTGCAGCCATTTTAAGATAAGTGAAAGTCTTGCCCGACCCAGGTGGTGCGATTAGACCTGTTATACCATTCTGAGCAAATAAGAACTTGTCATGTATAGGCTTTATCTGAGCATTTTCTAACTTCCTCTTGTTCTTGTTTAAAACATTCTCAAATTTCTTGTCAATGTCAGCAAACTTTTTTTCTAACATATTTTTAGAAAAATTAAAAATTTTATCTTTTAGAAAATGTCTAGCGATTTCGCTATCTATATTCGAGACAAGCTTTTTGACTCTAAAACATCTGTCGACCATAAAATCTTACATAGTGTAAACAAGAAAGGTGAATTTGTTCTAAAGTTCTGTTTCTGGGAATATGACAAGAACCATAAAACATTACAAAGAGCAGTCTTAAAATTTGTCAATGACAGACTTGTTGACAGAGATGACGCCGATTGGAAAGATGAAGTCCAACAAAAGTTCTTAGAATGCAAAGAAGGCACATGCGCTGTTCTTGAAGATGAAATAGAAAACAGAATAGAAGAGCTATTAAAGGACAAAGAACTTTTACATAAATATGGTTGCGCCAAATTTGACATAACTCCACCAGAGAAGAAGAAGAAGAGAGAAAAGAAAGAAAAGAAAGTAGAAGAAAAGAAAGTAGAAGAAGAGAAGAAAGAGCCAGAGCCAGAGCCAGAGAAAAAGAAATTTGACATGTAAAAATAAAATTTTATTTTTAGAACATTTCTGGGTCAATGTCAATGTTCTCTTCCTCTTTAGGAGTAAACACTGGCTTAGACTCTAAAATCTTTTTACCCAATTTACCTTGAACTTCAACTATCTTAGACTCATAATATTCATAGTCGTCTGCTTTCTTTGGTTCATAAGGTATAACAAGTTTGTATGCTTTACCTTCTTCGAGTTTTGAGAACTTTCTGTCAAAATTTTCTTTGACTGTTAACAAACCTTCTATGTCTAAGTCTTCAAAAGTTGCACCATTTTTAGTCACAATAGCAAACTTAACTGGTTCGATGTTCCAAACTTTGCTGAATGAAGACTTTTCAAAATGGTAGAAGTAAACATTCAAATAAGCGAATGGGTCTAGTTCTTCTTTGACTTCTGTCATGTACTTGTTTACTGAGATGAATTTTGCCATCTTTTCTATCGGATAAAAAAATGTTTTTTTTAAATTTACTCAGAAAAATTTTTCTTTGTATATACGCCATTCTGAACATCTAAAAGATTTTTGACATTTGCCAAGAATGTTCGTTTAGACGCTGCCATATAACCATATTCTTGACAATATTGTTTATATTCATCGTACAATGACCTTTCATCTAAACACTCAAAGTTAGTCTCATCTATAAACAGTTCATAAACACTCTTGTTTAGTCTCATCTATAAACAGTTCATAAACACTCTTGTTTGTTGCAACATAGTGGGGTCATTCAGCATTTGTTGTTGCAACTGTTGTTGTGGTGTTAGTTTTACTATTGGATGTTTCAATGCTCTCTTCCTCTTACGTATATTCTTACGTAGCTTACGTGGCATTTTAAGTGAAGTTAAAAACATTTACGATGAAGAAGTCTTGACAAAACATTTACGATGAAATCATGAGTTTTCTACGATGTTAGAAAACATGTTAGAAAACGTGTTAGATCTAACATTCTAACATAAACATTATTTTTGTCTGATTTTACGAAGAAGTCTTGACAAAACATTTACGATGAAGAAGTCTTGACAAAACATTTACGAAGAAGTCTTGACAAAACATTTACGAAGAAGTCTTGACAAAACATTTACGAAGAAGTCTTGACAAAACATGAAAACATATATAATTTGTGAAAAGTGAAACAAAAAAAAGTCAACGGCTGGTCGGCTGGGGCTCCGGTCCTCCTCTTGGGTCTTGTGCAAATTTTTTTATGGGCTAGAAGGCACGAAGTGCCTGGAAGCCCCACTACCTTTTTTTTTTTTTTTTTTTTTTTTTTTTTTTTTTTTTTTTTTTTTTTTTTTTTTTTTTTTTTTTTTTTTTTTTTTTTTTTTTTTAATTATTGATCATTTTGATATATAACAAAAATCATTTATAATTAATGTGGTTATATCAATTCAACTTTTCTTAATCTTTCTAAAACTATCGTCTTTTTGATAAGATAGCTTGACCAGAGGATGATAAATTAATTAATGGTTTGAAAATTGAAATATTTAGAAATTTTTCTATGTATACTCTTAAATTTTATTTCACATCCTGAAAACGAAATAATCCATAATATAATAAAAACAATTTAATTGAAAAACTTGCAACAAAAAAATTCTGATCAATTGAATATCAAAAAAAAGAAAGACAAAGAAAAAAAACGTTAGAAGAAAATTAACAAAAACAAGAAATTCAAACAATTTTATTATTCATAATATCAGCGTCCAGGAATTTCAGAAAGAGACTTTGATTTGTGTGGAGATCTCTTCTTCTGAGGAAATTGAACTGAAGAACTCTTCGGAACCAAAGCCTTTTTAAGAGGAAACTCTTCTACGTTCTGAGATGCTGGAAAAGACACAAAAGTGTGTGTAAAACTGCTCAGCATCGTCATGTAAGTATTAGGTATTGGAGATTCCTTAATTGTATTCAACAAGCATTTAACAGTTCTGCTGTTTATCAACTGGCTTGTTATTGAGTCAGAATTTAGTTTTTGGTCTTTTGTTGCGGCCAAAATCTTTCTGGCGATCAAATATGGGGATCCTGATGGGTGCATTCCAATTGCTGTGCAAATATCCTCCAACATCAGTTGATGAAGTGACTTTGGAGTAATTTTTGTAACATTGGAAGCAATTTGATGAACCCACTGCGGTAAGTTTGTTAAATTAACTCTATTGATTGAAGCATTGTCAATATCAATGAACAAATGTGCTTCAATATCTGAATTTGGCAAATTTTCGACCATCGAAGAATGAATTCCAACAATGAAAGGAGATGGAGAGAGAACCGTTTCAATGATGGACTTTGGAAGAACAGGAACGAAAATATGATGCCATTTGAGTGGATGAATTAATGAAGTCAAAGAATAACAGAACTGGGAGAGTTCGTTGAGATCTGATGATGTAGCAATGATTGGTGTATCAAGTAAGAGATGAAATACGAGATAAGCAATTGTCGTAGCATCGAATTTTTTGACAATTGGATATAATACTTGATTATTGTATATTTCATCAGAACGTGAAGACTTCCATAATGTTTTGAGGGACTTCATGAATGTAATTGAGTCTGGATCTTCATATAATGTATGTATGAATTGAATTGCTGATGGAAGATTGTTCAAAAGAAGATTTCGAACGATTTTCAGAGCCTCTTCGAATACATCGACGTGGTAATAACTTGAAATGAAGCATATTACTGTCTGTTGATTCGAATCTAATTCCTTAATTTGAACAAAAGATTGATCTAGGAGACAAAATGCATTGTAGAATTTCTCATCTGTTGACATGAATCTAAATGTAAATGTAATCGGTCCAGCTATTGGGTTCTCGGTTGGATAACAAAAATGAATCAAGTTATTTAATGTGTTACTTGGGATTTCACCATCTGAAAACAATGTTTTGATTCCACACTTCTGAACTACACCAACCCACTTGAATAGATGCTGGCCATGGGGGTAAAAGCCATCCGGAAACATTTACTAAAAATTTAACGATCAAATCTCATTCAATTAAATTTTTAGAATTGAATAGATATTAAATCTCATGACAAATTTGTCGGTACTTTTTAAAAACGTAACCTTTCCTGATAATCGGTGCGGGAAAAGTTGTTGGATCTTGTATGGTTGGCATAATAAATCAATAAAAAATCACTCATTTGGATTGCGATTATATAAGATTTTTGAGATAAAAACTGGCCAAAGAAGTCAAAATTGAGTAATCTTTTTTCGATCATAAATGTTGATTACATTATTTAGAACATTTTTTATTTGATCGGAATTTCGTCGTTATAATAAATTTTATGCAAATTAGCGTAAGTTGAAAAATTATCATCAACAGCACTATGACCGGCCAGTTACCCGGTTTTCATATTGTCTTTGGACCGGAACACCGAAATTAATTTAACAATGTAATGAAAGTATACATATGACTTGGATGATACTTCCACCTATGCTTTTCATAAGAGTCCTTGCATTTTATACAGCAGGCCTTCATTGATTCCCAGTTATATATATGAAATTTGATTTCGTGATCAAAATCTGTGTTTTGAACAATTTGTATTGTGTTGTAAACAGAAATTCATCAAAAGTGACACCTCAGAAAAGCTAAAATATTGAATTTTTGGAACTTTTGATAGAGCACGTTTTTAAATATTAATTAAAGTAAATGTATATTTTGTAAAGATTCTTTTTAATAAAAAATAAAATTTTGAAGAAGAACACAAAATCTTCTGAAAATAATATCACATAAACTCATATTATTTTCTAATATATAACTATTTTATATAAAAATCAAATTCAATGATCTTAAAAGCGAAGGATAAACCTCAAAATTTACGAATATAATGAGTGGGAATATAATGCTTATCTATCATAAAACCATATGAAATATCAATTTTTGCTTTACGCCTAATTTTTGACGACAATTAGCAAAAAATGTTAAATGTTAACACTCAGTCCATTTGAATATGAAAAATAAAATTGACTTTGATTAAATGTTTTTATTATCATGCAATTCTTCTTGCGACCAAAGATTTGAATAAAAGTTCAAAAAATAAGATAGCTTAAAAAATAATATACGGTAGTGTTTACTAATAGATGAATAGTATATAAATTCTATTAAAATGGATTTGATCCAAAAAAATATAAAACCAAAAATAATTGTTATAATTTAAATGAAGAAGTAATTTAAAACGATTTTATTTATGATCAAATTTTATATATTTTTTTGGATCAAATCCATTTTAATAGAATTTATATACTATTCATCTATTAGTAAACACTACCGTATATTATTTTTTAAGCTATCTTATTTTTTGAACTTTTATTCAAATCTTTGGTCGCAAGAAGAATTGCATGATAAATAAAAAATTTAATCAAAGTCAATTTTATTTTTCATATTCAAATGGACTGAGTGTTAACATTTAACATTTTTTGCTAATTGTCGTCAAAAATTAGGCGTAAAGCAAAAATTGATATTTCATATGGTTTTATGATAGATAAGCATTATATTCCCACTCATTATATTCGTAAATTTTGAGGTTTATCCTTCGCTTTTAAGATCATTGAATTTGATTTTTATATAAAATAGTTATATATTAGAAAATAATATGAGTTTATGTGATATTATTTTTCAGAAGATTTCATTCTATATGCCTATGAAAAGTACTCTCAAAACTAACTTTTTCCTAATTATAATTAAATCTAGAATATTGTATTATGCTTAGTATTATTTCATTTTTCTCATTCAATTTAGAATTTACAAATGTCAAAAAATTGAGAGCTGTTACTTTTGATGAATTTCTGTTTATTACATTGAAGAATTTATACATGGAGAGTAACATTATTCTAAACCTAACTCAATCTTAATCAATAGATGAAGTTCTAAAAGTGACTTTCCGGAAATTTCTCCATGTTATTTGCCATGCTTTTGAGATATGAATCAAAGTGAGAGTTTTGATTTTAACTGTGAAGTAACAGGTCCGTCTGACCCAACACCAGATTGTCTCCCTTATGAACGAGTTTTAAGAACTGGAAAATATTTCATTGAGCTTTGGGGAGCGCAAGGTGGAAACACTACTGGAAAGGTAGGCGGAAATGGTGGATACGTAAGCGGATATATCAATTTATATGTAAAAACTAAAGTTTATATTTATCTGGGTGAAGCTGGTATGACTGGAACCTCAATCCCACAAAGACTTCGAAAAACATTCGGAGGTGGTGGTATGGGTTTATATGGTGGCGATTGTGTAGCAACTTCTGGAGGAGGGATGTCTTGGGTTACGATCAATTCCCCAGCAATTGAAAACGCCATTTTAAAAGCAGCTGGTGGTAGTGGAGCAGCTTATTTTCAGAATGGAGGAGCTAATTATGGCTCTCCTGGAGGCGGTCTGATTGGGATTGATGGAAAGCAAGGTTATTGGAGAGGAACATATTATGCATTTGGTACAAGTGGCAAAGAAACCGCAGCTGGAACTAATAGTTATTGTTCTGAATGTAATGGAAATTTTAATAATGGAGGAAACAACAAAGGTGAAAATCAGATTGGCTCAGGTGGTGGCTCTGGGCACTTTGGAGGGGCTGCAGGAAGTGTATATGGTGCAACTGGTGGCAGGGGAAGTTCTTGGTACAGTGTCCTAAGAGAGAATGGTAATACCATTGCTAGAAATTCGTTAATGCCATCACCATTTAATTCGAGCGAATTTTATGGAAATTATGGAAATGGAAAAGCAAGAATTACATTTACAGTCCGGTGGTTTCTCGCGTGTTAAGATCTGGCTGGCGTGTTAAGACGATAAATTCAAAATTGAGAACTTTGGCAAAAATTTTCGTGGAATCATTTTTGGAAATATATTTGATAATATTATAAATAATAATATTTCATAAATTTGCAAAATTGTGTCAAAATTTTCCATCATGAGCATATAATGGTGCATGTAGCAGACTATATTGAATTAGGATTAGAACACATAATATTTTTGGGGATTAGAAAATCACTCATCATTAATAGAATTTTAGTTTTCCCTTTATTAAGATATTGAAAATCTGACAAAACAGTTTTGGGGCTGTTGGATTATATCAAATTATCTTAAACGTTAATGAATGACATTCAAATTCGTTTAATTGATAATTTGTTGGTATAATATTATCCAATTTTTTGGATCTGGAAATTAGAAGATTTAAATAATATCACATTCTTATTCTATCTATGTGCTCATAATATGTAAGCGTTATTCAGAAAAATAGATGATAATAGAATTATCACATTTATTTCGATAGATTATGATAAACCATAGTGAAAAAAGCAAGGGATAAATAAAAATCTTGTGTTATTCTTCCTAAATACCCATTTATTTCCATTCTTTATGACTAAATTGCATGTAATCAATGTTTTGTTACGTCAATTAACAACAGTTTATAAATAATTTGTACTATATTAGTATGTATGTTCATAATATAAGGAAAAATAGCAAAGTACGATGATGTCAAAAAAGTTAACACGCCAGCCAGGTCTTAACACGCGAGAAACCACCGGACTGTTTATTAAAAATTTTGCACCTTTTTTGCACTTTTTGAGCGAAGCTCAAAAAGTGCAAAAAAGGTAGAATTCTTTATGCCTTCAAAATTGGCAATGATCCTTTTATGCATTTTTAACGGTTCTATAGAAAACGAAAAAAGTGACTAAAAATTGGATTGGCGAAAAAACATAAATGAGCTTCATTTAGTCATATTTTAATCAAGAAGATTTCAAAAAAGTTCAATGAGTTATTAACTCATCTTCATTTCGCCATAATGCTCATTGTTTTCCAACGTTCCAACTCAAACTTAGCTCAAATTGCTTTTCTAATTTCGCGAGAAATTAGCCAACAGTCTTACCAACGCCTTTCATTCCTTTTGCCAACGAAAGGATGCCCTATTTTCAATACAAACTTGGGCCATATCCTCACAATATCTTAATTATTTTATTAATTTTACTTAATTTTGTTTTATTTTGTTTTGTTAAGAATAAAAACGTCGCCATATTCAATGTTTAGTTACTTTTTTCGTTTTCTAAAAGAACCTTAAAAGTGCAAAAAAGGGCCTGCCAATTTTGAATGCAAAAGAATTTGTACTTAGTTGCAGAGTTGAACATTGTAACTGTTGGAGCTTTGGATTGTTTTTATGTTTTGTTCTTTTTGATAGTCAATCTTCGTGAATAAAAGTTAGGAAATTTCCGATTAATATAGTACTATTATAATCTCGGATTCATCCCATTCAATTTTGAATGCTTTAAAAATGGGCTTTCAAATATTGAATTGAATTGGACCTAAGATTTGAACGTGACGATTATTTTTAACCTTAAAAACAAAGATAAAAGGTTTTTATTAAAATAGTAATGTTATTCAATGAGTGAACATTTTTCATATAGATTTTGCTCTTTTGAAGGGAAAGAGATTTTTCTGATCATCATTTCGAGTAAACAGTTAATGTTTAACTGGTAAATGGCTTTCCTTTAGACAGGCATCGATTAGCTTTCTAATTTTGTTTAGTTTGCCTTTGATAAATTAGAGATTGCAAAGCAAATGTGTCTAAAAATCTAAAATTTAGAATTGGCAGACCTGGAATAAGTATTTCATATCAGGGGATAACACTTTTTTGTGGAATTGCACGGTCACTACCATAGAAAGAACTGCATAATGGAATTGCCGTTTAAAAATTAAAAATTAATCAAAGTAGAAGAATATCATAAGTTACATGATATGATGCTGATTGCCTTGCTGATTTTCCATTAAAAATCTTTACAAGATGCAATTCTTTGCAATTTAATGAAAATTTGCATTTATTTCTACGCATAATATTTTCTCTTCCCATTTATAATGTGAAAACGAACTCAAAATCATCAGAAATGAATATATCATCTAATTTGACATTATCGTTTTTAAGGGTCCACTGTAAGGCCAAATAAGGTCTATCGTCGTCCCAAAAATATTGCTCGAGATGGTGTTTTACTAAGGCCCAAAACTTAAAAAAACAAAAAAAAATTAACTTTACTCTTTTGAGATCCTTATCAGATATGCATCAATTTGATGCAGTATCGCAGTTCAAATCTGATTTTTTAATGTAGATGTACTCTAACATCCTTTAAAAAATGCAAAATGATATTAATTAAGCTTTTCATTTCTGTATCATACACGAAACAAAATCGTTCATTATACTAAAATTTATCAAAGTTTGATTAATGAAAAAATAATATCTAAATTTTTACATTGAGTCGGCTATTGATATGGTTAATATTAAATCTTGTAAAAATTGGCATTATCCAGAATAATACCCACTAAAATACACAATTTTTTAAAAAAAATTTTATCAATTGTTATGGTATATCTTTATGATAATGAATAAAATGCTTATTTTTCATAAGTAAATACATAATTTATGCTTAAACACAAAAAATAACACGAAAATTTTTGGCCAACATATCTAAACTAAGGATAATGGTTTGAATATATAAACAATAATACTTTGTCCAGGGAATTAAATTTGTGCTATCCAATTGTCAATTCTTTGAATTTTTTTTAAAATGCATGGTATTCCGGCATTAGCCTCAATAAATATATATATTATGCATCATAATATTAGTTTGTAATGGCATTAAAGCGAAATTCCTAATTTCTTCTCAATTAAATTCCTTGAAAAACATTGGAATTAATGATTGGAAATAGGTCTAAAAAATTCCTAATATAAAACTTATACTTAAGATAAAATTAAAATTCGAAAATATCTATTTTTCAAAACACGCATCCAAAAGCGAAAAAATTCGAAAAAATCATGTTCTTATAAAACTCACTGATTTTGCAATTTTTATGAGATTTGAAGTGATAGAATATATTACCATCTTATTGAAACATATGCTTCATTGTTGTATTCACATAATATTAATCAGAACACTAGGAAAAGTGGATTTTCGAAAAATGACGATAATGATTATTTGCAAATCGCCTCTCAATTTTGAGATACTTTCAATTTTTACAGTGGACCCTTAATTAAATTTTTATTTTAGTAATCATTAATCAAAATGCTATTTTACACCTAATCATCAAAAATTTTTGTTCACAATATTTTCTGAGTCCGGACCCCAAATTTTGCGACTACTATATGGATTTTCGATTTTTGGTAATAATTATTGTGAATAGATAGAGGTTTATCATAAGATGAAAATATGATAAAATTGGATGATAAATCCGTTATTTTGTTTTGAGAGGGTTTGTGATGTTTACACGGAAAGTTAATAAATATTGTCTTCATCGATTTGATCCACTTTTTTGTTTGATTAACCAAGAATATAGCACTATAAGGTATATATTATTGGATTATTCATAAAGAAATATGCCTTATTTGAATTTTAGTTTTATTCAAATTTTTTATTTAAAAAATGAAGAAGAACAATATGAAAGGTAACTTGCAAATATAAATTTTGAGAACTTTTCAGAAAAATCTCAAAATATTATCCAACTAAAAAAATTGAAAATAATAAATAACTATTTATAATCCTATTAATTGTTATAAATTTCATCGTATTCAAAATTCAATTCAAAAAATTTTAAGCTTGATTTGATTTTATGACATAATGTTACTAAATAAAAATTTGAAATTTCTTAAATCGAAACCCTTAAATAATTCAAAATTGAAAAAGTTAGATATCTTTTTTTAAATCTATTTGTTGTATTAACCTAAGATTTATTAAGGGTTTCGTTTTGCGAAAAAAACGTACAATACGCAATTTCGCTAAAAAAACATTTAGCTAGCAATTTCGACCTTTGACTCCACTCAAGACGTCACTTTTTTAATTTTGCGGTATCATATTTTTGGAAAATCTTTATGAATATTATATAAAAAGTCTCTTTAATATCTATATTTCATATTTTTATCGATTTTTAAAGTTTTTGCGAAAAGTATTCAATTATTTTTGCTATTTTGTCGGGTAAATGTCAGATTTGCGACATTTTCTGATATGATATTCAGATTCTACGTTGATAATAATGCTTATAGAACCCTCTTGCTATTGTGTCAAAATTGCGAAACCGATAGCAAAAATATCTCGCAATATCAAAATTGAGATATTGAGTGAATTATGCATTATAGAGATTAAAAATCTGATTTGTGAAAACATCTCATCAGTTTCTAGCTAATTCAAAAATCTTTACTATCTTATTCGATTAAAATGAAAAGGGAATAGTTTCATTATGCTTTAAATGACAGCCTTATAATATAATCATAGTTTTCGCTCAATATGCAGCATTTTTTTTTCGAAATCTATGGTCAATGTCCTAAATACTGATTGCTTTGCATTCATATCTCTTACATTTTCTATACCCACATCACTATTCATTGCTATTCCTATCTTTTTCATTTTTGTTTGTTTCTCATAATTTCTCAAAAAACACGACAACTTGATATTTGTAAATATCATACTTTATAACGTAAATAAGAACTTGACCTATTAAGAAAAGCAGTAATGAAAAGAAAATCTGAAATTCATAAAAATTACAAGTTTCTGATGACAATTAGCTTAATTAAACCAGGTACAAGATTATATAATTGTATTTTCTATCCAATTATCCATATAATATCTTATCCAGAAAAAATAACTTGATCAATACCAAATGATTTTTTAACTAGTAAATAAAGTATTTTCTTTACACACACATTGTATATCATAGTTTTTTTTTTTTTTTTTTTTTGGTTTCGCAAAACATCCAAAAACAAATATGCTAAAAAAAAAAAAAAAAAA